AGGATGAACTGCAAAGGTAGGGTTGGCCTCCCAATGATTCGAGTCCACCATGATGAGATCCGGATTCTGAGAAAGAGGAGGGTCTACGTACGTATACCCCCTCCTTCGTTGATGACTAACCAAGAAGATACTACATCAGAGTGGACGTTAGATGAGGGTGTGCGGGCTTTTATCTATTGCACAGCAGTTTTTTCCCCACCCTACCAGTCAAGTGCGAGATGCGCAGGCTGATCCCGAAAAAACATCTGTGCAGGTCCGTTCCACGGTTTTCACGACATGTTTCGTCGGTCTTGGTTCTGCGCTTGGTTCCCTACCACGGTTTGCACGGCTCGCCTGCGGTTCATATTTGCCGGTATCGAAGCGTCGCGCCTTTGTACCCTGAGCCATTTCTTCTCTACTGTTTCTGCGCCCAGAGGTCGAGCAGCTTTTGGAACAACAGCCAATCGGCGGCGTACTTGTCGCTTTCCGGAACCAGACTATCGAGGACCCTGTCGTCATCGTCGGTCTTGCTACGGTCGTCAGTGCATTGGGTGGATCAGTTTACATGGTACCACGGGCAGTCTGAGTCTTGGTGTTATAACACCGAGTCGCGGAGGATGCGCGATGAGGATTCGGCAGTCGTTTGTAGAAAAGCTATCAATGAACGCAGTCCAATCACTTGTCTTTTCGCATCACAGTGCTTCGTAATGTTTGGTTCCGCATCTGGTTTGATCTATACTCAATCTATGAGTAAACAGGTCATGTTTAGTTCCCAATTTGGTGCTGTAATGCCCTTGCTTCTTGATACCGTGGTTTTGAATATCGGTACCATAAACCTCAACTCGACACGTATTGTTTCAGCAAACAGCGAAAATCCAATTACTTCAGGAACTATGGCAGGTGGTAGAATAGGTAAAACAATCTGTTTATATGTTGTATGGTAATTCGCTGAAGAACAGGCACTCTCATGCAAGGTGACTTTATTGTCTTGTTCTATGGTCACTGCGAGCACCACCCAAACACGTCCCTTATCTCCTACTCAAGCTGAACTCTAATCCAACATTCCCCTCACAATTCCACAACAATCTTCTTCGCACTGACTCCCTTCTTCAACACATCTACACCATGCTGCATGCTCTCCAGCCCTTTCCCCACAACCTCAGCATCGGGCTTAGCCTGCATTACCCCCTTCTCAAGTGCTTCAGGGAGTAACTCGCCAAAGATGTATTCCCCAATATGTTGATGCGGTGGAGCCAAGATTTGAAACCCCATGAGGAATTGTGGGTTGTACCACTCTGATGCCATATCCGCTGCACACGGCATAACGACTGCTATGGGCGCCTTGCTTTGGAGGGTTTCGACAATGGATTTTACCATGCTGAAGCTAGAGGATTCAGAGATGGCGTCGTACACACCGGCGAATTCGGTGTCGGGTTGCTGGAGTGAAGCCACGATATCGCTCGCTGCAGACGCAGACCTATAATCAAACACCTCTTCCGCACCCACGCTCTTCACTAATTCGAAATTAGCCGGGGAGCATGTCGCGGTGACGCGGAGACCGGATGCGACAGCGAGTTGGATCGCAGCGAGGCCGACGGAGGAGGAACCACCCCAGATTAGCACCGTCTTTCTCAACTCTGTCTTGCGTGGTGGGGTAGTTGGTAGAGGCAGATTGAGTAGATTGGGCGGGTAAAGACCAGATGCAGCGGTTGCGAGGGCGAGAGGTAGTACGACGCCGTTTTTGAAAGGGAGGGAAGCGGGAATGGAGATGGTGTGGGTGGCTGGCACAAGGGTGTAGTGTTGAAAGGCGGACTGTGCAGTATTGTTGGTAGGAAGTGAGGGACAGAACCTGTGATATGCATTTTGTTAGTCCGTTTTATTGGTAGGCGGAGGCAAGGATGTAGTTCGGAAGTAATGTATCGTCTCTGGAAAGGGTAAGAGCAAAAGGGAATGAGAAAGTAAACGTACGCAATAACCCTATCTCCCTTTACGAATCTCGTTACCCCTTCACCGACATCCTCAACTGTACCAGCGCAGTCTGAACCGAGGATGAACGGGTAGTTGTATACGTATTTGTGCTCCTCGCTGTGGTATTGGATTTTCCATTCCACGGGGTTCTGTGCGCATTAGATTTGAGCACTATATTCCCTGAGACTGGGCAGTGACATACAATAGCAATAGCTGCATTCTTAATGACCACTTCTCCAGGTCCAGCGCTTGGGTACGGTGCTTCTTTGACTACAAAGGGATGAGCACCAGGCGAGGTGATCCAGGCAGCTTTGTTCTGAGGCATTGTTGGCTGTGAAGAGTTGATGATCGTAGATTGAAGTGGTGATGGTATAAGTGGAATGATAGTGTGATTGAGTCTGAAAAGGACGATGATCCCTCTCTTATGTAGTAGTGGTTCCAGTACATACAAACAGTATCTTGCTTCACGACACCTACGTACATCTCCAAATCCGAATGCGACACCGAGAGACTCCACAGAACGGCTGAACAAGTTGACCGCCGGTCACCTCATCCAGTATAGAGATTTGTGGGTCGAACGGTGTTACACCATTTTTCTTTATGGAAGGTTGTGCTTACACCGCTAAGTCCGCTTATGTCCGGTTTGCTCCAGAGAAAGTCTACACTCGGCAAGACGTAGATGCCGGTCGATGTTAACGCCGTTACTATTTTTTTGTATTATTCCATTGGGATACCCTGAGCGGAAGAACTATGGGTCAAGGGTTTCATGCATCGTCGTGTTAGTGAACCTGGCGCTGTCGACCAAGCCGGCGCATTCCAAAGTTGCGGCTGAACGAGGACCGAGCACCTTATCACCCAAACTCACCGATGCTCGATGGCTCCCATTTCATCAACAAATTCAAACTGGTTGTGAGTGGCAATTGATGACAACTGGACACCAAGCGTCATTCCACACCAGCTGAATCGCCTGAGACGTGAAATTTGGAAGGCTGGTGTCTGTCAGTCCCGTTGATATCAAACTCAAGCCTATACGGCTGTAAATGGAAAATTTGTTTTGTCCATCATAAGCCGAACGTAAGAAGATAAATACTTCTCTACGCATTTGATCTGTCTCAGCCGTTCCCAGAAGTAGACATCAGATAGGGCATTAAGCCACTATCAATCAATGGATCGATAAGAAGTAGAAATGTAAATAGAAAACCATCCTTGTTGGATATCCGGTCAAGATAGACATAGGCAACATGACTTCCAGAAGGTCCTCCTGGAGAATGTTGGACGACGACTCAAAGTGCTGTGAAGGTAATCACGCGCTTCTGTTATCCTTTCTTCCCCATAGCCCGTTTGTGTCAGCTGTTGAGAACGAAGCTTCCACTCCCTTCGGAATCGTCTTGGTAAGTAAGCCCCAGCACTGCGGCAAGGTGCGATTCCATCGCTAGAGATAGTATTTTTTAAGAGGGTTGCGCCTACAGGGAGAGTTGACAGGAGCAGCCAGCACTTTTGTTCCACATGCATACCTCATATTATTATAGCGAGTATCACACCACGACTCTTAGCTTTTCGACGGGCGGTATAGGTGTTAGCATCCTCATACTATCCGTGTCTGCACAGGGAGAGTCAATGTGCTGTTTTGGGCGTAGTGGTCGAGGGTGTGGGTGTTTTGGATGTAGTAATGGCAGTTAGTTCGAGGAATGGCACAACTAGCAAGGAAGTCATCATCACTGAATGCAGCAAGTGAAAAGAGATACACATGTCTGATATAACCGAGTAGGCATTGCACTACTATGCTAGAACGTCCTGGCACCTGATCGGAGGTATCGAATTCTATTCACTATCGAGTCCATTTCACAGTCCGTGTTGCTCCAGGCAGAGAGATTCCTTCACAGTTCATATTTCACTAGGTCTTCCGGTGCATTATCACATCACACCACACCAGAGTCATACTGACTACCCAATTTCTGAGATCATCTAACAGCGATTCTAAGTATCGAACATGTCTAACTGGGACCCCTACTGTTTTGGCGCTTCCAGAAGCAGCCCCTACAAGGTACTCTTGACCGCGGCAGCTACTCTCCAAGTAATCCGCACGAAGCTGCCTTCCGCCGCCCACAAGATCTACCGCGGATACTACGACGATATCATATCGTCAGGAAGTGGCGCACAAGACTCTGCTGTTGCAATGGCAACGTTCGTCGAAAACTTCCCGGCTATCTTGACATTTCATAACAGGCTGGCGGTCTTACAGAATCCGGAGATCGAGAGACAGAAGCCTGGCGAAGGACGCGTTAAATTCCCGTTAGTGGGGAATGGTATAGCAGCGGGTGATGATGACGAGGATGTGATAAAAGCAACCTTGGCTCAAGAGAAACAGAGAAACAAACCGAAGTGGGAAGCAGAGAGGGCAAAGAAAGGCAAGAAACCGAAGACTCCGGTGGCGTCAGAGGAAACATTGGCTATGACATCCAGAGCTGCTCTAGACACTGACACTGGACCTGGGCCTGACATACGCGAAGGATTTCCAACATTGGCTATGACACCCGAATTTGCTCTAAACACAAACACAGAGCCTGGGTCTGAGATGAGCGAAGAGTCTTCATCATTGGCTTATTTCTTAACTGTCACGAATACCGAAACTGACGGGTCAGTGGTAACCCAAAGTCCTATAATATCGCCAGCACTTCTGGCCACCCCTAGCTATGAACCCTTTGGCATGGCTGAAGAGATTCTCGACACAGAAGGGCCAGCGGGACGCCAGAGCTCGGTGACGTTACCAGCGATTCCAACCATCACCAACACTGCACACCCCGAAGATGGCAACAACAACAACGAGATGGGACTCGAGTTTCCCGAAGACATATTGGACGACTTGACTTGGGAAGATGGTTTGGAAGTCATCGACACCTTCTCATGGGCGCGCCCACGATCACCTTAACGCGGGCGTACTGTATCGGCGTTGGTAGTGGCCATACTAGCCCCATCATCGGACCGCCCAAATATCACACTGGCTCGATCATCGCATCTCCATTCGATCCCCTCTGTAATCTTCCAAAGGCAGTTCACCTGGATTTTGCCTCTACCCACACATTCCGATCGCCTGCAGAAGAAACGTGAACTTTTAGGTCGTTCTTTGTAGTCGATGTAGTGGAGGCAATACATGCAAGGCCATAGGAGGACGTGTTTGAAGTTGGCCCTGCAGTCGTCGGCGCACTTCCTGTGTAAAGTTAGATACGGAATGGCCCACAGTCGGTGCATAGAATCAAGACCTACTTCCAAGCTCGAATTTGTTGTCTCGTGAGTTCTTGTGATACTGGAGGGTCATTTGCTAGTCGTGCTGAACGGCCATGACGCTTAGTCGTTAAGGCGTTCCATTCGATGAGTGCGTCGACGTCACCCGTGGTAGGTAGTGGACCTCTATCTTCGTTGAGTAATGAACTTTCGCTGGCTCGCCGCGCGATCCACATGTCTCTTGCCCGTTGCGCCTCTGTCTCTGTCGACTTACGACCGCCTTTTCCCTTAGATAGCGTCATTGCGGGGGTTTGAGTATGCGTGAAGAATGGAAGGAATAAAGATGGTGATGGGTGTTGATAGTGAATGAGCCCGCAGGTAACAACAAACCGGGGCCGTGCGGTTGATTTCTTTCGGCGTGAATTTCACATCGAGCAACGTACATATTACTACGTGGAAGTATTCGGTCATTGCAATCCAGAAGCAGGCATGGTGACGTGGACGAGACAGGAACGATGATGTGGATTGCCAGGTGCGCTTCGCTTTGCGATTTCTCAATGAAGTCGAATCAGAGCGTTCAGATGTGCTTTCCACGTCCTGCCATGCTTGAATTGCTACACACCTCACTTGCGGAGTCACTATCCTTTGCAACGTGATCTGTCCATGGCGGCCTTGCAGACGAATAGTTACAGCATTGCCCGGTATGGCTGACGTAATATCAGGGTCTGGAACATGCTCTTCGATGTAGTAGATTAACTTGATAATCTACTAGAAGCCTCTCCTTGATGGAAAGGACGCCTTGTGAGTATGGTGTTGTTTAATGGTCGCTGTCGGCATCGCTTCGAACATGCTGGCGGTTTAGGCGTTCCACCTCGGTGCGTCTAGCTGAATCAGTGAACTCCTCAGCTGGAGCTGAAGCCACAGTCGCCGGTTCGCACATATATAGACTAGCTCGGTAATCATTGTGATGGTATGTATTGAGCCCTGCCGCACGACAATGAGAGGAAGTTGTTGCTACCACGCACAACCTTCTTCCTACCCCGCCACTTCAGAAAGCCATGACCACCACGTCCGCCGAACCTTCTCCGGCCTCCGGTACCAACGGTACCTTCGACCCGTCAGCCGTCAAACCTCCATTCTTCGACATCAATGGCAAAAAATCCATACATTATGGCGTGTTGCTCTTCCCTGGATTCCAAGCGCTCGATGTCTTTGGTCCTCTTGATGTCTTTAACTCGCTGTCCATGCTATACCACTTCCCCACCAAGTTGACTATGCTCGCCGCAGACAGCTCTCCGGTAGAGACTTCGCATCAGAGAGCTGGCAACCAGATGTTCTCGCATCCCGAGACGAACGTTTCCCAGAGCTTGATGGTAGATCGCACGTTCCAAGAGCAGCTCGACATTCAACAGGCTGGTGCATATGCGGACGCGCGGGGTGGCGCCATCGACGTTCTCATTGTACCTGGTGGTGTCGGTACGCGCAACGACATGGACGCCGAAATTGAGTTTGTAAGGGAAATATACCCTAATCTGAAAGCTCTATTATGCGTATGCACCGGAGCCACCATCTTGGCTCGCGCTGGTGTTCTGGATGGCCGACGTGCGACGACGAACAAGCGCGCTTACACATGGGCGACAAGTACAGGACCAAACGTGAAATGGGTTGCAGAGGCACGATGGGTTGTAGATGGAAATATTGTCACGGGATCTGGTATCAGTGCCGGTATAGACGCGACATACGCCTTCGTGGGACTGAATTATGGTGAGACTATTGCGCAAGAGCTGGCTGATAGTGCGGAGTATGTGCGTTGGACTGATCCAGATCATGATCCCTTTGCGAAGAGATGGAACGCCGGCAATGCGTAAGGTAGTTCGGTTATATTTGTCGTGTACTACCTGATAATGCTTTAGCTTGATGGGCCGAGATCAGGTCCATTTCACTTGCTTGTATCGTACTTACGGTGCTCAGGTACATCTCAGCTGCCTAGATCGGGCGTTGTATTTCACTTCGCTATTGTTGTGATATCGAGCAGTATTACGTATGTGTTCCGATTGTTCACTGAGACTACATGCAGTTTCCGATTCTTCTCTTTCTCTCCAGGTTATCTTGACCCAGCCCTGTTATTCTCTTTCTCAACCTTTTCAAAGATGCATTCAATGCAGTGGCGCCAACAGCGAAAACCCAAGTCGGACGCGATATTGACTAATCTCGAACCGCTTTTTCTGGTCATACGAAAAGAGCTTGGCCTCGACTGGTGTTTCTACAAGGAGTTCCTAGATTGCGTCCGAACAGCAACGTTGAAGGGCGAGGACACTTCGATTTGGGTACACCACATCGAGCCACTGGTACAAGAACCGACCCTACAATTCGCGCATCAAGGCGTGCTTTTCCTATTCCGTGAGATGGGTGTGGCGCTACGAAGCAAATGTAAGTAATTCCAAGACATTGATTCACCTTCACTTTCTTACCACTGACAAACAACAGCTCCTCCTTCCACCAACATGGTATCTCCATTACCCCTTCCCAGCGGCCAACCTCAGCTGCCCGCGTCTCCCACATCTGATGTACAGCGCAACTTCACAGGCGGCCACGCGCCTATAACTTCCCCATCGTCTGCTGTCAACACGCGACCTCCACCATCATCATCACCCGCAAATCAGCTACAACGCTATCGTGCCCTCGATCAAGCGCCCGTGGCGTCGCTGTGTTTCGACCGCCGCGGACCGCCTGCATTCGCCCCTACCAACATTTCCAGGCTTCCTGCACCGCCAATGGCGTCCTTCAGCTTTGACTATTTCAAACCGCTCAAGCAACAGCCAGTCTCAGCCAACTTCTCACTTCCTTCCGCAGCCAGCGTCGCCTTCTCGGGTGAGAAACGCCGCATCACAGTCGAGCCTCTCAAGTCCGCGTACTCTGGTGGGTTCGTTCTCCACCAGGATCCTGCATTCAGGCAGGACATCCAAGAGTTCTTCGGCCATAAATACCCTGCGGGTAAGTCAGAGACCAAGTACCACAGTCAGAAGGATGTGCCACCGGTTTACAAGGCTGCAGATGACGATCTCGCGGTCTGGAGGGCAGACGGAGGAGCTGGAAACGTGGGCAACAACAGTGGTGGAGATGGTTTTTTGGAGGACAGAATGAAGAATTTGGAGGATAGGAGCCGAGAAAACTTGTTGGAGAGGTTGCGTTACAAGCTTTTCAACGAGTAATCTCAGCATCGTCGACTGACGGTATGGTCGCTTGCGCATCTTGGGCGTTTAAGACGGACGGAGTCAGTACGCAAATGGACGACATACGATTGGTGATGGCGAAGAACATCCGCCCACGACGACCCTTGGATTTCCACGGGTGAGGCTGATGACGTGGGTGTTTGATGGAACGATACTTAATGATAGAGGATAATACAAGATTGCGACTGTCCACAGCGCTCTTCTAGCATCAGGAGAATGGGCTTTCGAGTAGGCTTGTGGGACACTGATAACGATTCTCTATTGGTTCAGGTTTATCAAATGCATCAAAGTTACCGATAATACTTCGCAGCATATACATGAGGGTTGAACAGCACCTTTTCACCAACGTCACCATTCAATTTCAAGTAGCATCTCATGTACTAATTCACGCCTGACCACTATGTTCTACAGCCTTCTCAAAGCTTCCCTAGCAATCCACCTTTCTCTGACTCAAACGGCGTTATCATATTCGTCTTCGCCCACTCCTTCTCCGCTTCCGTCCCCTCAAGCGGCGGAACGATACCATTGATCTTCCACTGACTCCTGTCGGCTTCTTCGACACTGTACTCCCAATCGTAACCCTGATCAGCAATAAAAGGCTTCAGCGTCGCATCGGCCCACCGCAAGAAACGTTTCTTGGATTTTTCCGAAGGGCTAGTCCAAGTCAGTACACATCTCGAAATGGATGACAGTCGACATTGACACGAGAAACATGATGTCGTAAAGCAATCAGGCAAGAAGAACAGCAGGGTAGGAGGGTCTTACTCAGGCCTAGCGAAATGCTCAATTTTGATCCTGATAAAGGGACGCGTACTATCAGGCCCAGGTTTGTTGGCAGGTACATCTGGCGACGGCCTGGCTACGCCGCCGATGTAGTAAGAGTCGGATTCTATGGGTTGGAAGAGGACAACTACATAGCTTCTAGGAAGACCGACGGAGGCGTAGCCATCTGTGAGAACTTTGGCTAGGGCTTTCTTGGTGGCGGGGTCGGTGAAAGTGTTGGGTGGATGGTAGAAGACCCATAGAGGCATTGTAGCAAACGGATATAGGAATAAGAAGTAGGAATTTGAAGTTCGTGTTAAGTGTAGTGGTGAAAGACATCTTTGCATCTGGCTGGTGTTATATTGAGGGATATATGACAGTGAAACATGTTTAGTGATGTTGACAAAAAGCGTGATGTTGTGAAATGTGGTGTACCTCTGCCTTGGATGGATGGCACGTGTGCGGTGCGTATGTTGGAATAGTAATCAACCATTTTAAGTAATCCAATTACAAGCGCCTAAACGCTTACTGAGCCGAGGCTAGAAACAACGTTGGGATTGGTCTATAGATCTTGGTACAAGACATGATTCGTCCTAGTGATTGGCCTTCATGTCGAATATACGCTACAGCTCTCAGGAGTGCAGATTTATTTGCCGAGGATCGTGCGATGATGCCATTCTACGTTGTATGGTCTTACAGCACCCAGTAGTGTAATCAGGCATGAATGTAATCAAACTTGGCGCCAAGGTGCCAACCGCCTGACTACGAGGGTATACGGAGATCTGAGCACACCATGGCCAGATGCTAGGAGGCTGCATGGTAGCAAAGGATTAGTTGAATCAGGCCTTCGTGAGCTTAGTCATAGTGGAATCACTGATTAAACATATGGTGAAGTAACCATCATGATATGACCATACTAGTGCCGAGTAGCGATGCTTCTTACAAGCGGGGATGGTTGGCTATCATCACTGCGAGCAGTCCAGCACTCGCTCAAAGGTCCGACAGAACTCTGCGTACGACTTGGTCGAGATCCTCCTCTTGCAGTCCAAGCATTTTGTTCGCGAAACCTTCCTTCTCCTTCCAATCCGCAGCAACCACC